GATGGTTTAAGCGAGAGGTCAATAGAAAATGCAAACATTTCCCCGTAAAAAGAATCATCTTCACGAATGAATGAGAACGTTCGTGTTCCAGGTATTTGCATGCTTGAAGAAGAAGAAGAAAGGTCGAGCACCGGATCAAATTGTTTATTATCCTGAGCTTTCGGGCTCTTGCGGGAGTCCATCGTCAGAGATAAAAGCGTCCACAAAAACAAGCGACAGTTATAGGGGGTATGAGCCAATCAAACGTTATAGGGAAGGGGGGTAGAGGTAGGAAGAAGGGAGGGAGAGGGGGGGAAGAGTCCACCACTAGGGATAATAGCCCCCACGAAAACAAGCAACAGTTGTGGGGGGTAGTAACTAGTCGAACGTCATACGGGCAGAGGGAGGGAAGGTTGGGAGGTAGGGAGAGGGGGGGAGTTGAGGGTTCATTAATCAGCAGTGTCCGCCGTGCGGGTGTTCTTGCGGAGGGCAGTATATGCGGGCGCCAACTCAATACATCTGTTCACTGAGTTGTCATCCGTTGCCCAGGCTTCAGTTAGCTCGCGTTCGGTTTTGCTCCCGTCGTGAGCAATTATCCTTGTTGCTTCGAAATTAAAGTCGTGGCCCGTCTCAAGGGTGTGGGCCGCCACTTGCAACAGCTCAGAATAATAAACAATTTGATCCGGTGCTCGAACTTCCTTCTTCTTCAGAATCATCCTCCTCGTTGGTCCTTTTGGTGCGGAGTGTTGGAACGACACACATATCTAGGTAAGTACTTTGGAGCCAACGAGTTGACCAGTTAATAAGTCGGTACCTAATGTGTTAGCTGCCTATCTCCAGCTCACCTAATGAATCTCTGGATTTTGACATCGTCAGCATACACAATGTTAAACGTAGAATAGGAAGATTAGTGGCCATAGAACTGAAGCATGGGACATCACTTAAAACAGCGGTAGGAGGTAAATTAATGACACCCACCTTGTTGAATTGCGATCTTCCTATATGAAAAGCCGCGATCAAAGTCAACAGCCTGTCTCTTGTTGAAATTCCAAATAGTTTTTAAATAAGACGTATGGAATGCTGTCGAACGTCTTCCTGAAATGATTGTAGATGATGTGAACCTTACCAGCCTCCTCAAGTGCATCTGCACTTGGCAAATGCTAAATAAAATCTCAGCCAAGAACTACGGTGATTCTAAATGTTTTTGCACGAGTGTTTTCCTCCACCAGAATAAAATTGTCTTTGCTATTTGCTCAACTCACAGTTGGGTCCTCATCCGGGCTCATTCTTAACTTCCCGCACCCAGATTGGGATCTCTGAACCTTTGCTGAATGTTTTGCACAGTGTAAGTTTTTCCTGTCCTAAGTCTTATTATCATAATGACCTTCGCTGCAGTACGTCTTAATTTGGATTCATTTCCCAAAAACTGTGTGAGTAGGGCTTTTTTGCGAGGCCGCTTTTGTATGTGATAAATAATAAAAAAAACTACTTCCACATTGTCAGTAAGTCGAACTTCCTCATATCCAAACACTTCTATGATTATGCCAACCAGTAGGAGTTTTTCTAATATCGGTATTGGTCTACAGCATCCTTTACTGACCAATAGGAGTTTAGGCTGTCGGTTTTGCTCTTGCCACAGGCTTTTAACTTATATTTTTGGTTCAGTAAAATAATTGCAAACGGCTTTTATTTGTTTCCTACCGTGCGCTTATAACGCATTAGACACGCATTAACTATGTCCTAATCAAGCATTTAATCTTCAACCACGAGTTCCGTAGGAACCTTGGCCGGGAAACTTTTGTCATTAGGCGGCCTCACAAGACAGCCTTACCAACGTGTGTTTTTGTAAATAAAGTATGAGTTCGAATGCGGGCTTCAGGTTACAGCAGCTCAGGTGCAATTGGAAATTATTTTACTCAACCGGGAACTCAGTAACTACGTGTGAAGGCATAACCGCCAGAGGATCCTGAAGGCGACACGACAGAAGTCGATCATTACCGTAAAAATCCTGGCATCTTCATAAGACTGAGGCAGATTTAATTTGGATCATGGTGTGAAAAGGTTCGGTCAGCGTCTTCCAAGGTGTTTGTTGTACGGCAGTGTTGCTATGCGGTTTACATTCTGTCTCCAATTTCAGAAGCGTTTCCTATGTGACTTATAAGTGGAGACGTGTTTGCAGGAGGGCTATAATGTTGCTCCGGCGAGCCTATATTTGGTTCTTTATGCGGCCTACTTCCGCGGTCACCGGTTCGGCTGCTTCCTTTAATTCCTATAGTGCTGCATGTTGCTGTCCTCCTGCATGCCGACAACTTCACACCGATCGGTCTACCCCCTTCTGATTGACTGTACGCACGCAATGCCCAGGCGTATGCACAGACGCGCACTTTGCGCAGGGATCAATAACCTAAACGACTGGAGAGGACATTCCCTTGTATGCTTCCCTGTTTCCTAGCTAACTCTTTCTTCTGGTACCTTTGGTTTGTGCAATCGTGTCGTTGGTTACGTAGTAGCAAAACCGGACGTCAGATAAACACCAAATAACGGAAGAGGAATAATAATGAAACTAGGCAGCCACGACATTTGTGAATTCCCAGTCGGCATGAAGCTGATGTTTCTGACCTAAAACAAGCCTCTGTTCCGCGCGGGATGGATTAGTTTGACAACGATTTTGCCTGATCTAATCTCCAATTGCACAGTTTGTCGATGCCCAGTAAGCAGACGGAAGGGCTTCTTTGGCGTCAATTCTGTGTTTCCTATCGATTAGATGTGCACGAGTTTGCCTTGAAATCTATCGATTTTCCATTTACCTAACCATGCAGGTCTTTGTTTGCAAGGCACATATAGACCCTGTTCATAGCTCACGAGTTCATTTTCCATGTAATTGTAGTGGCCTGTTGATGCATTATAGAAGCCCGAGGAGTTAACCTGCTTCTCATGTACGATTACATGCGTCTCAACGTGAAACGCAATTAAATCGCTCATATGGCCGCGCAGCGGATTTAACTTCCCATGAATGTCTTCTTAGGTTTGCTAAGCAGGCGAGTTTAGATTGCGTGAGTTGTGTCTCAAGCGTATCACGGAAGAAGCGGTGAACTTTAGAAGACTAACCAAAAACTCGTAGCCCCAAAAGAAATCCCGATCTAAACCTAGCGAGGACGTTAACCATAAGGCTAGTTTTAACTCTAACCACAAAAGCTACTACGAACTGTAACCATGGAGCTAAACCAAGCAGTCCAAGCTAATCCTAATCCTAACCCTAAACCTAAAGCTAACCCTCACTCTAAAGCTAACCTCAACTCTTACCCTAACCCAAAAGTACACTTTGCATTAACCACAACCCCAACCCCAACCCAAAGTGGGTATATCGCAAAATAGAGGCTCCGTCGGCCGCGTTTGTCTTCGATGGCAAACCATAAAAATCGTAGTCGCAAGGCGTAACAGTAGCGGCAACTCCCTTCATAACGATCTTTAGACGATCGAAAGAACTATGGCTGAAATTACACGTCCAATCTATAAGAAATAAGTATCTACCGAAAAACCAACGCCTACAGGGCTCACAAAAGCATCAGAGAAACACACATTACTCAAACCCGCCTACTTAACAACACCAAGTAGACATTTATGGGACGTGAAAAGCAACAGAGTGGTGATTCAAGCATTCACTCGAAGATGACATGGCAGAAAATGCAACAATGTTCGGAAGGAATAGGCGCCTTTAGGTCCTCATTTTCAAATAGTCAGCTTTGTTTGTGCTTTACCGCGTTGGCCTGACTCTTATACTGAATGCCAGTGTCGTTGTAGTGTATCGATCGTTGTGTCGTCTGGTCGGCCCAAGCTTCTCTTTCTTCGTTGATAAACGGCTCCACAATCGGCCGGTTTTCCATCTTAAGCGCTTTTATCTCCCCCAAAACTAAGTTGTGTACTTGGACAGAAAAGTTAACCGTCACAAGCAACGACATCCACCACAAGTCCCACGTAGTGGGTGAAGCATTGGGGGCTTGTACGTACTTTTGTTTATAAGGAATCGGACTTTTACAACATCTGCCTCCACTATATCCTTCTTCATCCACCTCGATCTGCTGCCCAGGCAACAACAAAACGTCCGCAGGTGGGATCGGGCGCAGTGGCTGGTA